CAGTTGTGCACCTGCTGGTTTAATTTGACTGCTGCTTCCAATGCCTATGAATAGCAATTATAATAATGAAACAGGCGCTGGACGACTGTTATATAAATTGAATTAGGCTTATTTAAGCGAGCTAAAAACCTGGCCAACTTGGGGGGTCAGGAAGTGATAAAACAGATGGGAGTGTTCAGTTCGATCTCTTAGGCTCCTGCTGATCGGACGAGTAACATGTAGTTCTGATTTGTCCGTTGCGTTCAATGGTTTAGCGCAACGTGGGTTGAGGTGTGTAGGCAGAAAGATAGGTTCCATCTGTTGTAGGGTATTTTCTAACACGTTGTGAATTGTAATTCATTACTATTTGTAAAGACCTTAGATGATGTTCAGTGAAATAAATAGATGTGAATGTGATAATTATAGTTCCAGTTGCTTTGCTTCAGATTAGGGCTTGTGGTTAGTGTGTGCAGTTTATTTATTTGTTGCCTGGCTTACTAGACTTTACACAGAAGATCTCGTGTCTGGACCAGAATATTCTTGTTTCTAGTCCCCGCTAAACGAACTATTTTCCTTTATTTTTATCTTAGTACTTAGGGCTTTTCTGGCCCTAGTACAATAATTTAATGTAAGTGTTGGCACCTCCAGCGGCTGTCTGTATGCATATGATGCGTGTGAGCGCTGTTGGAATTTTGCTTGGACTGTTGTTTGACTTTTCATGGGCATAGCGACGGGCAATGAATGTGGTTTTTTACCGTCATGGGAACAGATCAGTTATGAAGTGATTAGTCTGCGATGAAATTACAACCCCGACTGTTGGCTTGATACGCGATCGGTGGACCAGGTGTCTTCTGTGTGCATCTTTCCTTTACAGAAAACAATGTAAATTATCTGGTACACAATTTTATAAGTCTGGGGTGATTTTCTTCTTCTTCTTCTTGTGTTCGCTTTCTGATTTACACTGACAGACAAGTTCTTGTGATACATTTGTCTGTTTTTGGTAGTTATGTTTTATTTCTATACAACTTTTAGTGCAGTGTTGTCTCACTGGGAGAGTCGGGTTCGAATCCTCGGTAATAATGGTGATTTTTTCTCTCGCGAGCAAAATAAAATCCTCACCTGCACAGTCGTGGCGACAACACTAGCCATGTGGCCGTTAATCTTAAGCTCAAAGACCCCCCTGCCTACACAGCAAAAGTTGTAAAATAAAGGCAGTAATTGGCAGTTGTCTCACTGGGACAGGATTAGTTTCTTAATGAGCTGCAGAAGGGACATTCTTGCAGGACATGCTCCATAGTCTGCTCACACAGCCCACATGGGCACAATGGTCAATTACTTAGACGTAGCCTGTGCATATGCTGGTTAAGTTTGTTATGTTCTGTCCTGAGGCGTTGAATAATGATCTGACCATGCCGGTCAAGTAAGTGGTGGTCATCTCTGGCCAGACTCTGTTCACTTCTGATAGACTGGATGGCCCTTTCTTTCTCATAGTATGTTACTGCATTCTCTTCCTGTTCACATTCTGCCCCTTTCTTAGCATGAGATTACACTGGCTGGGGTGATCCAATACCAGTTATGGTCTTTCGTGACAACGGAAAGTTCGAGAATTTAACAGATTTAGAATATTTAGGCTTAACAGTGAACAATAATGAGGAATGCACAAAAGAAGTCAGAAAAAGCCTTGCTTTGACAACGCAGAGGCTGAACAGTACTAAGAACATATGGCACATGACCTGCAGGCGAGTTACATTATAAATTGTGAGATCGTGCATCTTTTCCCCGCAGCTTATGGGTATGAGTGACGGATTCTTACACAATCACTGAAGAAATATATATCGGAGATTTCGAAATGAAATGCTACAGACAAATTCTTAGAATAGCAAGGAAACACAGAAGAAAAAGAAAAATACTGACAACCTGAATCATCAAAGCATTTAGGATAATTGGCTCATAAAAAGTATCCTGTCCCGAAAGCTAGTTTATTTTGGTAATGTTAAACACCATAGTGGCCTGGAGACAACGGTGATGGAGGGTACAGTTTCCTGAACACGACGCAGAGGCAGACCTCCGCGACGTGGATACAAGACATTGTTGATGCATTGACTATGAAAGCACATAGGGCCTGGAGAAATATCTAGGGAAAGAAAGACTATGTATGCCGTGACGAGACCGACTTTCTGTTACGTTGATTAATAATGATGAGGTATACAAACCGACCATAGACCAAATCAAGTGATGATATGAAAGGAGTGTGTTCGTTCTTAGAGACAGGTCATTCGATCATTAGTAAACTGGTAACTGGCGTAGGCGTTTATGCTTTTTTACGTGTCGTAACAAGTAATTAAATGAGCAGGTATTGTTTTTTCCCTCCAAATATAAAAGGATAAGTTAGTTTAATGAAAATGAATGAACTGACATCCCGGCATCATGGACATTCCCATAAGTGCCGTGTCCCCTTTCTGAGTTAAAGAAGTGTTCTCACACTGACGGTGCCAGTTGCAACATGATTAAAACTGCGACTGACCTTGCAGGAGCAGGGAAGCCAGTGATTAGTGATTAGAAAGGATTATCATCACAGCACTCCGGACAGATCTATAGGTGCTCCGATCTCCTCAAAACCTCTACAAAGTAAAACGACTGATGACACCTGTTTTGTGTTGGTTAATAAAACGTCTTGTCCCCTTAGTGAAAGGTTAATTTCTTGCATCTCTAGGCTGCACCCCCATGTCCATCAGTCTAGACCGGGATATGGAGTCATGTCCTTTGGCGTTCTCCTCGGTACGGTAAGTGCACTGGAAATTAGGAATTTTACTTTCCAGAAGAAGAATTAGATCCACTTACAATAAACTAGCTACTGTTTGCAGACGATCGGTTCTGTTCTACAACGAGGGGAGTAGACTGCAAGACCATTTGAACAACTAAGTTTAACATGCAGACGATATAACAGGAAAATAAATACTACCAAAACAGAAGTATTGCTGATCAACCGAATTCCTAGTCCGCTACATATCAAGTTTGAATGGTACTTATCTGAAGCAAATTAAATAATTTAAATATCTAGGAAGTATATTCTCAGAGATCGAGAAATATGAACAAGATGCCAACGAGGCATTGCCCTTACATACCAACCGACACCATTATTAAGACATCCAAACATAAGTATGAGCGAAAGGAAAGTGATTACAAACAGCATATTCATACCAATACTGTGCTACCAGTGCCAGACTTGGACATTATGAGATGCCAACCTAAGTAAAATTAACACATGTGAAATTAGATGCCTGAGAAAAGCCGCTAACTTAACCATCCGAGACCAAGTTAGAAATGATATTATCAGACAGATTGTAGGAACAACATCATGCAGCAAATTCATTGAGAAACAGAAGATCAAATAGATTAGTCACTTTGTAAGAATGCAGCCAGAACAACTACCAATGCAGGCGCTAGAGATGAAGAGATCTGACGTGAAATCAAGAGGCCGCCTAAGGAGAATCAGGACTGATAACATTAAAGGGCTTCTACATCGACACGGAATGACAAAAGCCATTACTGCCCATCAAGCATTGGATTGCAAACTGTTCCTCCCCACTCAACTGCAAAAATGGAAATTGATGATGATGACTAACTCCATAGCCCCAAAAACTACCCCCAGCGATATCCTACAAATTTGCGCTCACATACAAAGCAAACGGTGGAACTATTTGATATGAAGATCCTATTCTCAGAAAAGTTCCTATTGTTGCTTTCATAACCGAAAATAATCATTTATAAATAATAGAGACAATCACCAGAAACTGCAGATTAAACGTTTATTGTTCTTTGCTTGAATGCGCATTTCCAAATGTTTACTCACTCGAAAACTAGAAATTGAAAGAAGAAATAAACAAACTTATTGTAAATCGAAAACTTCAGGTAGGCATGCCTTTATTTGGAAGTTTCGCACATAACGAGTCTAGATTTTACTATAAAAATTTTTAACATTGGTATTCTGACACGAAGGCTAGATTTTTGTGTAGTTGTTACTGGTTCTGTGCTTCAGTGGGCACACATCTACTGGTAGGGAATAAAGTGATGGTAGTCCGTGTTCACATGTCAATAATTGTAGGCTTGGAACAGATTTACATTAGGCTGCCTGGGTGTAATTTGTTTAAACAGAAACATACTGATGATAGGGGTTTAAAACATTTAAAATTCACTTCTCTCACATCTCTCCCTCCCTCTTCTCTCTCTCTCTTCTTTTCTAGTTCTCTCTCTCTCTCTCTCTCTCTCTCTCTCTCTCTCTCTCTCTCTCTCTCTCTCTCTCTCTCTCTCTCTCTCTCTCTTTCCTCACGTCTTTCTACATTTTTCTAATTTTGTTTCTCAAATTCGCTCTAGCTTCTTTTCTTTATGATTCTAAATCCCGTGCTCTCTCACCCTGATCGTCTGTATATTTCTCTCATTTTTACGTTCTCTTTCACATACACACTCTCTTTTTCTGTCACTCTCAAAAACGCGTACGTTTTCATTCTCACAAACACATTGTTTCACACAAACACTCTCTCCCACACATTCTATCTCTCTCTCTCTCTCTAATATTGTCTCATATACCCACTCTTCCTCTCGCTCTCACACAGCCACACATACACTCATACATACTTTCTCTTCATTTCACTCTTACTCCCGCACTCAAACAGCTCATATCTGCAGTGAAAATATTGCAATAATTCATTGTGACTATTGTCTTTTCTGCCTTCTGATTTTACAAAAGAATTAGGCCTACATAGAAATGCTCACACGCAGCTTTATGCGGTAATCACAGTATATGAATCTGTGTATATATTTTTTTTTTCAAGTAGTTTTCCACCTTGTGTCGTTTTCTTCTTCGACAGAAGTTGACTGCAAAAATAAAGTACTTGGATATGATCTCGGTAACTAGTATAAATTGTGTAAGACATTACTGATGATTGTCATATCAAGATAAGGACAGGAACTGACCAGCCATGGACTTTACTGTTAGTCACCCGGGATAGGGGTTACTTTAGTTATAGCATCACCAGCATCTCCAGGTCATCGCTTTCGTTGCCTTCCTTCTTTATTCTTCGGTGTCCAGTTAGTTCCCTGTAGAAGAGAGAGTGGACATTATCTTGTTTTCAGGACAACAGCAACGGGTCACACATTACACATAAGGTTGTAGGGGGGGGGGGTCTTCAGATGAAAACCTTAAAAGTGTGAGATAAATAACGTGTCAGTGTCCTATAGCCTGTCTGTATTGCTGTTTAGGATGTCAAGAGTGTTAAGCACGCGTCATCACGGTACAGAAGAACCCAGTGACGTCACAATGGTATTTTAAGATAGCCGCCCCACTTTTGACGTACCCCAAAGAGGTGCAGGGCTCTGTTATCTGTTTATGTTTTTTTTTTTTTTTTCAGTGAATGGGTGAAAACTATCGTCGTGTGAAGGTTCAGTAGGCCGCTGCATGCCTGATCGGCGAGTGAATGTTCAATAGGCATATGCATGCCTGATCGGCGAGTGAAGGTTCAGTAGGCTGATGCATGCCTGATCGGCGAGTGAAATTTCAGTAGGCTAATGCATGCCTGATTAGGGAGTGAATGTTCAGTAGGCTGATGCATGCCTTTTCGGCGAATGAAGGTTTAATAGGCTGATGCATGCCTGATCGGCAAGTGAATGTTCAGTAGGCTGATGCATGCCTGATCGGCGAATGAAGGTTTAATAGGCTGATGCATGCCTGATTGGCGAATGAAGGTTTAATAGGCTCATGCATGCCTGATCAGCGAGTGAATGTTCAGTAGGCTGATGCATGCCTGATCGGCGAATGAAGGTTCGGTAGGCTAATGCATGCCTGATCGGCGAGTGAAAGTTTAGTAGGCTGATGCATGCCTGATCGGCGAGTGAATGTTCAGTAGGCTAATGCATGCCTGATCGGCGAGTAAATGTTCAGTAGGCTGATGCATGCCTGATCGGCGAGTGAACGTTCAATAGGCTGATGCATGCCTGATCGGCGAGTGAATGTTCAATAGGCTGATGCATGCCTGATCGGCGAGTGAAAGTTCAGTAGGCTTATGCATGCCTGTCAATCCAGCAAGTCCATTTGATGACTATTGTCGTTTGACTAGGAATTTTCACATTCAATATAGTTCGCCCTTGCTTTCTCGAACGGTCGATGCTTAACATTATTGTCGAAGTCAATGCAAAGCTGGAGTGTTTATAATGTAACAACAATTTAGGTCTGTGTTTTCCTGGTGTTTGTGATAAGATGTCTACGAGTAAGGTAGGGTCTTCGTCATCATAGTCATTAAACACAGCGTGTCGTTGGTTCACCAGTTGAAGTTGCATTTCAGCTTAGGTCTCTCCACATCTACCGATCTGATGCTACTGACTTGATATTGGCATGTTTAGGATCCTTCCATTTAGCCAAATGCTGTATCCAAGTGTGGAGAGAACGAACCAACAGTAGACATCCAGAAAACCTCACCAGCAGACTCAACAGAAAGCATCATACACAAATTTTTCGTCTAAGAACAGGACACTGCAGGCTCAACTACCACGTGCATAAAATAAAGAATGCACAGTCCCCACAGTGTGCATGTCGGGCAGGACGACAAACACCTGGGCACATTCTGCAGACCTGCCAACTCTACCTAGTTAGTTCGTATCCTTTACAGGAAGTTGCAGAACCAACCCCACCATTTTTTTGTTTTTGTTTTTTGCTGTTGTGGTTTTTTTTCCCTAGGCAAATTTTAGGTTCAGTAGTTTGCCATTGCTCTCAAAATAAAGGAAAAAAAGCATGGTCAGCTCTCGGTACCACAGTCGAAACCAACGACAGAAAAATCGTCCGCAGCTGTCTCGCAGCAATCATTTGGCCAGGCCATTCAAGTATTTGTCTCTCTGCATTCTTTTTGCTTTCTTTCCATCAATCTTGCCAGGTGTTGCCAAGTTCTGGAGTCCCTTCCTTCTCAAAATAATATCCAAAACAATGGATGATCATGTCAAATTGTTGTAATCATGATCATCATCATCACCCTCAAGTGCCTTGCCGACTGGCGTGGGCGATCATGCCTCTCCACAACCTGCGATCCGCAACTGCGTGTACCAGTTCGTGTTTTGACACACCTTCGTGCCATGACAAAAGACTGTCAAGAATCTTCTCGTGCTGTCTTCCCCAGTCTCTCTTTCCACAAGTCTTTCCAACGGTTACAACATATTCTATTTTCCCTCTTCTCATCAAATTACCAAACAATTGTTATAATAAGTTTATGGCTTTCACGTGTCGTTATTTCCTGACACACCTGGACTTTTTTTTTTCCTTTAAAAAATAACCTTGTCTCCCAGGTCGACCCAGTCTTGAGTGGGTACCAGGGACAGTTCTGGAAAGGGAAGGTGGCTGACGTGATGCTGACCACATCACCCATCGATTGGTGGCTGCCGATTGGTCAATAAAATAAAGGTATAGCCCTATAAGCGCGATACGTGGAAAAGGGTCTTTAACTTTTTTTTTTTAATTCGTCATTATTAGTTACCAGGAAATAAGTCACGACATCGTCTGGCATCCATTTTAGGTTGTGTTGACCTGTGAGCCAAGGTCAGTTTTGATGGTAACTAAACCATCCGCCTAAACTAACGTTATAGTCCTTCCAGTAGTCATGCCCAACCTCAAAAATGTGTAATTTAGTGTCAGTTCAATGAAGGTAAGTAGGTAAGCTGCCCCTTTACCAGGACATCCGACAAGCGATTAACACTTGGTGACACAAAGTGCCACCATGTGGATGAGGATCACCCGTGGAGAGGTCCCAGAAACACTGTTTAACCGATAGGCCATATTTAAGACCCGGCTACATTTTACGGTGGCAAGGAATCGGATCCCCGCGGTTCTAGAGGAACCGGCGAAGAGCCTTGATCGGGTTTACTATTCAAAGTTATCTGACAGAGCGGAGGTCTAACAAATACTGCTAGGCCACAGGCCTGCTCGCGATCGAGCGTTGCAGGCTAATCGGAAAGTTTAAGGTTTGTTGCCTTCAGTTTATATTGATCCCAAAGCTTCTCTGACCGCTGCTCATATACGGAGTGACGATGACGGCAGTGGAAACCATGGAGCAGAAAATCAACACAGCCATGAGGAAATGGCTTACAGCACCACCTTGTCTGACTGATGACACTCTGTGTTGTAAGCAGGCTAAGCTGGTACTCCCGCTCAAATCAATAACCGAAGAGTTTAAACTTGGCAAAGTAAGACTCGCGATGATGTTGCTCAAGTCTTCAGACCCCACGGTCATTGCTCTCCATCCCGCTCTAAAGACAGGGAAGAAATGGAAAATCTTCGATGTGACTGAATCTGCCCCAAATGCACTGAATTTGAAGGAAGTTATGGGTTACACACAAACTGACCATCGAGACATAGGTCATGTGAAAGTCAGTTGGTGGTCCAAAGCCACAGCAAAGAGAGCTGAGACATGGTAATACAGCAAATAAGGGACCCCGAAAACGAGACGTTGGCCCAAAAAAGCCGCTCAACAGTCGCAGCAAGGCCAGGCTTAATCGTAAGATCTGAATAAGAAGTGTTACTGCCCGGTGTCAACATGGTCATGTGGAAAGCGGCTACCGATTCTGCATGCCCACTATGCAGAGCTAAACAGACCATCTAGCACGTATTGTCCGCGTGCAGAAAAACCCTAGGTCAGGGTAGATACACTTGGCGCCACAACAAGGTCCTGAAAGACCTAGCAGCCATTGTGGACCAAGCTAGGATGAGGGCCCATGCGAGGATCAGTCCTAAAGTTGTCCCCGTGCGCTTCCTCAAGGCTGGGCACATTTATAAAGGTAAATTCAACAAGACCGCATACCCTCCATCGATGCTCGACTGTGCGAGGGACTGGTTACTGGCTGTCGACTTGCCTGGTCACGAAAAGTACCGACAGTTAATCCGGAAGACCGGCCTGCGACCCGACATAGCCATACACTCTGCATAGAAATGACAGCTCATCATTTTGAGCTGACCGTGCCGTATGAGTCACAAATGAACGAGAATCATATGTATAAGCTCGAAAAATACAGTGATCTCGCGGCTGGTCTGAGGAGAGACGAAGCGTACACAGTAAGAATCTTCGCCGTCGAGATAGGTGCAAGAGGTCTTATCTCCACTTCTATGTACAATGTGATAAAGCAGCAGAGCTTGCAAGGAAACGAGCGCAAACAATCACTAAAACAACTGGGCGAAGCTGCTGAAAGGGCTTCGAGTTGGCTCTGGAAGCAACGGAACGTCGTGGGGGACGGGCATTGGTTGGCTGGTAAGGATGTCTAGTAAAAAAAAAAAGTCTTATCCCTTAAGTCCATCGGGTCCGAATTGTCTGCCACTGTCCCTCTGCCAATTGCCAACAAAGTCCAACATGTGTCCGACGAACTAACTATAAGCTTGATCGTTAAGGTATGCCGGCTGATCTAATAGGCTACCGCAGTGACTATAAATATGTCTAACTTAGAATCTCACAGTACCCGTTGCAGGGTCATCATTTTCGTCTTTTCCCTGTCCTAAAACATCAACAGGAGCAGATCAAAACCTGAGAGTCATGACTCATGGTTAACCCACTCTCTGAAATTCTCTAGGAGTTCGTGGGTCAAAACAATTGTTGACGAGGGATTTTCTACTGATGATTGGTAGACTCCTGCTGTACATGCTTCCCTGTGGAGTTCTTCTTATTAGGGTTCCCGGCAAAAACCAGGGTGGGGCTTCAAAATAACTAAAAATTGCATCCCACATGGGGCAGACAGTAGCGTTAAGCAGTTCAATGTAAACTGTTGACAACTGTCAAACTGCCTGTTAAAAATAATGACCCTGTAAGACATTTTTTCTAACATGTAAACAAACTTTAGCTTTTATTTTGCTTTATTTGTGGTATATGAAAAACAGACACCCATTTAAAGCAAACAAACATCATGCTTACTGTAACGCTTTCCTTCTCTACACGTCCTCCCATCCCTCTTCTTGCAAGGACTCAATTCCGTTATCCCAAGTTCTACACCTCCGCAGACTATGCCAGGAAAACAACGACTTCCACAACAAGGCCCTGGAAATGCTGGACTTCTTCCGGCTTTGATGGTATCCTGAACATGTCCTATCTGCTGCCTTTCACCGCGCACGGTCTTTCCATCGTTCCGAGGCTCTCGTTTCTAAGCCTAAACGTCACCACAACAGACCTATCCTCACACTTACCTACCACCCTCACAAGATCCACGCAAAATATTTTCCTCATGGCATCTCTCCATCCTTAATGCCGACCCTGCCACCAGCACGATTTACTCTGAACCTCCTCTAGTAGCCTACGGGCATGACAGTAACCTTAATGCCATTCTAGTCAAGAGTCGGTTACGTCCCGCGTCTGAGTCCCACTTCGGCACGGTCTTTTGCACACAGACCTGCATGCAGGACCTGTCCATATGTGGTCCAGGTGACTAGACTAGAATTTCTGAACGCCAACTTCCACATACGTGAAGCGTTCTATTGTACCAGCAGCAATGTCATTTTATGCCATTAACTGCGAGAGATGTGGTATGAAATACATTGGTGAAACAGGTCTATAGCTGGCTGACAGGTTCAGACAACATCTTTTGGATGTGCATAATGGTGCCCTGAAACCATTACCGTTGCATTTCAATTCCTAGAATCATCAAGGTGTCCTCGACATGGAAATGACAGCCATTAAATCTAACCACTCCAGCGACAGAGTCCGCAAGTCTCTTAAGAATAGCTTTATTTACACTCTGGGGACTTTCAAACCCTCCGGACTGAATTGCCAACCGTTTCATTTAAACTCCTATGGGATTGAACTGTCCTCATTGTTTTATCTCTAATCCCCCAGTTATGGCCCTGATACTCCACAGCGGGTATTTATTCCCCCATCTACATGTGGAGGCATTCTGCAGAGAAACCATCGACCCGGCTGCTTCATGATACCAGCTAAGTGATTTTGTGTACTTGTGTAGTATTGTTTGATTTGTATGTGCTGGTGAAGGCTCCATAGCCGCAAAGTTCACGTGTGTTTGTATTTGTTGTATTGTAAAGCTTGCTAATATACTTTTTGTTCGGTTTTATATCTTTTCTTGTTACTGTAACTTATGTTAATTGATTAAGGAGAACTTAACAAAATATCATATGTCATGAGCGTTTCATGAGTGGTCATCCCCAATATTTGCCTCCCGTTAGTTGTTAGATTACCACAGTTTTTTAATGTATGCCACATAGGCTATCAAAATAGTCTCTGTGCATCGCTGCACATGTCAACAGATTTCCCAACAATTTTAACGCCTGTGTCCCTTACCGACTGTTATTTTTTTTTTTTTTTTTTTAATGGGCAGACAAATTACTCGTCAAAGATCCCATAAATTGGCCGCTTTAAGAAAACAGCAGCGCTTTGGCAACTGTATTTGGGTATGTCTCCTTTGATCGCATCAACACTTCAAGAGACCTTGTTAGGGCTACTTGGCGGCGAGCTATGATAAGCCATTCTAATATTGGGCAAATAACCTAAATCACAGTTATAACCAAAAATTTCTCCTTTGCGGATGATTGCTAAAGGTAACGATTGTTTGCGTTTGTTTGTGTGTGTGTATGAAAAACGGACGGACGGACATACGGATCATTTACCCGCTGCATAATGGTAGTTGGATTGACCCTTTACTTACTGATTACCTTACTGATTATACTGCCATTGATTAGCACACACTTTACACATTTCAGTAACAGTTCGAAAGTAACTCGTATACGACAGCAGCTAGCCAAGAAATAAGATAACTAAAATTAATATTTACGAAGGTCCCCTGGTCTGAATGCTTTTTTGAGTTTCTGGATCGTTACTCTTGCCACAGAAAAATCCCGAGAAATGTACCGGGGGAAATATCGCCGTCTGAAATATACAGCGAATATTATGGTTAGATAATTATTATATATATATATATATATATATATATATATATATATATCTGTGTGTGTGTGTATTGTGAGGGGGGGGGGGGCTGTTATTGTTGTCATCGTCATCATCATTAGCACCACCAGTATCCTCATATTTATCATAATCTTTTTCCTCCTTTTCTTTCTTTCTTCTTCTTTATCTTTCTTTCTTTCTTTTCTTCTTCTTCTTCTTCTTCTTCTTCTTCTTCTTCTTCTTCTTCTTCTTCTTCTTCTTCTTCTTCTTCTTCTTCTTCTTCTTCTTCTTTTTCATCATCATCTTTCTTTTCTTCTTCTTCTTCTTCTTCTCTTCTTCTTCTTCTTCTTCTTCTTCTTCTTCTTCTTCTTCTTCTTCTTCTTCTTTTTTTTTTTCCTTTTCTTCTCACTTTTCCGTTGCTTGTTGTTTTATACATTTGCGTTGTGCAAGTTTACATCATAGCTACGGCACTTGCGCTTTCTTTAATTCTAATTTGTATTGTGATGTTTCAACCAACACATTTTGCTTCTCCAGATGGTTGTTGTTCTGATTACCGTTCCTGTTAATTGTGATTTATTGCAAAGAAGCATTGCAGTACATACCGAACGTACTAAAACATCAACAATCGACAAAAACGGAAAGCAGGGTTAGTCAGCTGTCTAAGACTGCAGTCACGTATGATTAAATGAACACTGTAGCTAGAAAGCTTTTCTTTGCATACATAAAGTTAGTTCCGTATCCTTTACAGAACCAATCCATGCATTTTTTGGCAGTTGTGGTTTTTCTAGACAAATTTTATGTTCAGTAGTTTGCCTTTGCTCCTGAACGCTCAGCTCTCGGTACCAATGTCTAAACAAACGCAAGACAAATCGTCTGCAGCTGGTATCGAACTCAGCATCCCGGCATTACGAAGCACGTTTGCAAAGCCGTAGCCTCAGACGCTGACTCTGCACACGGACCTGTTCACGTTTCCAGGCCTAGGATTAGATTAACTGTCCTTGTCATTCATGCCACGTTCGTTCGCTGGACCTCTCCTATGTTGCGGGGTTGTTATGATATAGCTAGTTTGGCGTTCGCTCGGCGTATGATTGTGGAAGGTTGTGTTGCTGTGATTCAATTTCAGGCGCCACAGGTCCCTGTGTACAAGAAAGAAGTACTGCAGGGGGAAGCGCCGCAGGCTCGACGATTCTTGGCTATCGAAACTGGGATATTCTTGTGTTTTTACTTTTGTTGGCTGTGGAGGTGGCTTGCCACCGAGAGAAAGAAAGCAGTTACAAGGAGTAGAAAAAGGAAAAGGATGAAGTAGAAATAGAAAACATATCGCTGTTTCCATACTCCTGAACCGTCGCGCAGGCATCAGAACGGGAAAAAATCACGCAAGCGAGCGGTGAGAAGACGAGAAAAGAGGCTTCGGTTACACCGTTTACAGTAAGGAAAACATGACTCCCCCGCAACATAGGAGAGGTCCAGCGACCTAAAGAGGCATGAATGGCAAGGAAAATTACTTTAATCCTGGGATTGAAAACGTGAACAGCACCGGCATACATAAAAAGGACTAAGCATGAAGACTTGCCGACTAGCTGTCATGCTTCTCCATACAGTCGCATCCAACAGCATCTATCAGTTCCCGTGCTAAGACATTTATATGCCAAGCAAACACCTATCAAAATGATTGCCTCATTATCTTTATCTTTCTTTCCGTGTATCTCAAAGTTGTCACAGCATGTTTCATTGTTTTAACTTCTTACAGCGAGTACAAGAAGTGACATGTTTCTTCTAGAAATAAAATGTAAAGAAAAGAGAAGACAATTTTTGCGGTTTTGGCACGGGAGTATTTGATCCTCAGGATATAAGGCTGCATGGCTAGTGCTGTCGCTATGGTCTGTGCAGGTTATGACTTTAATTATGCCCCAGACAGAAAAACAATCCCCGACCTTACCGTGCATTTGAACCCCGGTCTCAGAGCTTCTACGCAACTTAAAAAGAATTCATTCCCTTACCTGGGTTGTCACTATAGGTTTAATCTGTGGAAGTATCCCTAAACTAAGTTTATATTATATATTTAATCTGTAGAAGTATACCTTACCTGTGTTGTTACTGTATGTGTAATCTGTAGAAGTATCAGTTACCTGGGTTGTAATTGTAGGTATAATCTGTAGAAGTATCCCTTACCTGTGTTGTTACTGTATGTGTAATCTGTAGAAGTATCAGTTACCTGGGTTGTAATTGTAGGTATAATCTGTAGAAGTATCCCTTACCTGTGTTGTTACTGTATGTGTAATCTGTAGAAGTATCAGTTACCTGGGTTGTAATTGTAGGTATAATCTGTAGAAGTATCCCTTACCTGTGTTGTTACTGTATGTGTAATCTGTAGAAGTATCAGTTACCTGGGTTGTAATTGTAGGTATAATCTGTAGAAGTATCCCTTACCTGTGTTGTTACTGTATGTGTAATCTGTAGAAGTATCAGTTACCTGGGTTGTAATTGTAGGTATAATCTGTAGAGATATTGGTTGCCTAGGTTGTTACTATAGGTGTAATCTGTAGAAGTATTCATTACCTGGGTTGTTATTGCAGGTATCATCTGTAGAAGTATCCCTTACATTGGTGGTTACTGTAAGTTTAATCTGTAAAGGTATCACTACATTGGTGGTTACTCTAGGTTTAGGCTGTAGAAGTATCACTTACCTGGGTTGCAACGGACGGCTTCATCTGTATGTCGAGCACGTTGTCTACCTGGAAGTTGTTGGCCCAGATCATGACCTTGTCGTACTTGACGTTGAAGGTCAGCCTGGGGTCAAAACAATAATTTAGAAATGTGTATATATGTTGTGAATGTTATTAGTGTTTATGATTGATCGTTTGATTTAGTTGGTTGATTGACGAATTAATTAACGATTGGTTTGTTGGGTGGACGACTGTTAGGTGGTGATTGTTGGGGAGATTATTGTTGGGTGGTGATTTTTTTGGGGAGGATGGAGGGAGGGGGAAGTGGGGGGGGGGGGAGGGGGTTGGCTGGTTTGATTTTATGTGGTTTGGCTGATTTGTACGTTGGCTGGTTTCGGATGTTGATTTTTTTTTGTGTGGGGGGGGGGCGTGGGGGGGGGGGTCCTTGGTTGGTTATTTAGGGAAATTGTTGGTTATTTAAGGAGTTGGTTTCTTGTTTACAGTGGTGTTGGTTGTTTAGGGTGTTTGTTGGTTTCTTGTTTACAGTGGTGTTGGTTGTTTAGGGTGTTTGTTGGTTTCTTGTTTACAGTGGTGTTGGTTGTTTAGGGTGTTTGTTGGTTTCTTGTTTACAGTGGTGTTGGTTGTTTAGGGTGTTTGTTGGTTTTTTTGTTTACAGTGGTGTTGGTGTTTTAGGGTGTTTGTTGGTTTCTTGTTTACAGTGGTGTTGGTTGTTTAGGGTGTTTGTTGGTTTTGTAGGGAGTCGTTTGGTTGCTTAAAGTGGTGTTAATTGTAAAAGGTGCTGGCTGGTTATTAAGAATGTTGATTGGTTGACCCTAAGGACATCCTTTATGGTGAACTAATGACAGGTAGAATGTGTCGAGGCCGACCTCTAATACGATAAAAAGATGTTTGCAAACGGGACATGAATGATACAGGTATTTAGGTGGACTCGTTGGAACAAAATGCTGTGAAACAAGCTGTGAGGAGGGAGCACATTAGGTTGAGATTGAGATTGAAGGAAGGAATTACTGCAGAAAGGATAAAATATGGACGTCTGAGAAGAAACAAACTAAACACACCAGTTTACATCAATGGTCCTGATATCCCATGCTATAACTGTGGAAGAGTTTTCTTAACGTGGGCTGGTCTTACTAGTCACATTCGCCATCGCCATGGGCTGTGAGTCCCATGCTTCCTGTTAGCTCAGTATAACATTATCGTCTGGAAAGACGGACATGTAACAATCAATCTGTTTGTTAATGCATTAGTTATTGTTTGGTTTATCAGGTGGATGATTTGTTGGTTCGTGTATTGATTGACTGGTTTATTGTTTTGGGTGGTTGGTTAATATGTTGGATTTTTGTTTATGTTTTTTTTTTTTTAGGTTGCTTAGGGTGTGTGTTGATTAATGTGCTGGCTGAGAGTCACCGTGGTGTCTCGGCTAGACGCTCGCCTGTGGATCGGAATGTCGTGGGTTCGGATTCTCTTAGCTTCCAGGTCAACCCAGCCTTGAGTGGGTACCAAATACATTCCTGGGATGTAAAGGCGGCAAGTGTGCTGCTGACCACTCCCACCAAGTGCCGACTGATCCATGAAATATAGATATAAACCTATATGCCGTATACGCCTGAAAGCATTGAAAAGGGCCATTTACTTTTAGTGTGTTACTTGGTTGTTTTGGATGTAGGTTAGTAGATTCAAATGTTGACTGTATGGTTCTTTAGGCTGTTGGTTAGCTATTTAGGAGGTCGGTTGTTTAGGGTGTTGGTTGACTGTTTAGTATGTTGACTGGTTGGCTGTTGAGGGTGTTGGTTGGTTGCGTGTTTTTTATGTTGTTCTTGTTTTTGTTTTTTCCTTTGTTGGTTGGTAGTATTTTTTTTTAATCTTCAGGATGTTGATTGTTAGGTTGTTTAAGGTGTTGTAGAACTGTTTAGGGCGTAATCGAGTTTTTCAGTGTCTTGGTTAATATTTAGGGAGTTGGCTGGTTGGTAGGACAGTTTGTTGGTTTGTTTGTTTTAGTTTTTTTTTTTTTTTTAGTGATGAATTGATTTATTTGGCTGGTTGGTTGGTTGATCTGGAAGTTTGATTGGTTGGCGGATTGGTTTGTTTAGCTGGTTGATTAGGATGGTTGGTTGATGTGGTTTTTTTTATATGGGGGTTTGGATGATTTGTTGGTTGGTTGATGGGCTGGTTTGACTGGTTTATTTGTTGATTGGTTTGGATAGTTGGTTAGGTTAGCTAGCAGGATAGCTGGTTGACTGATTTGGTTAGATCATTTGTTGGTCAGTATGCTGGTTGGTTCTGAATCCAGTGAAGACCACAGCCTTCATTCTTCAGTTTGATTCATTGGTTTTCAAGTGGTCTTCATCCTGAAAAATTTAGATTGTGTCTATTAAAGTGCGGTTGTTGTAAACTGTATTCTTCTGACCTGGTACCAAAATACTGTTTTCTGTTGCAAAGCTCTGATCTCCTTCTCCAAGCATAGCCACCAGCGTTTACAAAGACGTTATGAACGACGTCATTATTCGGACCAAAACATTAGGGCTGGTAGGGGCTCTACTGGCACAACAAATATCACACCACCACTACTGATAAACTAGTACACAACAACAACAACAGCATAAACACCAAGAACATCATCATCAACAACAACAACAACAACTACTACTACTACAAATATTATTAACAATAATAAAAAGGACCCCTTTCCTCTCCTTTCAGGCGTATTGGGTATATAGGGCTAGACCTACCTTTTATTTACCAAACGGCACTTGGTGGGTGATGTGGTCAGCGTCGCAATGGCCGCTTACTTCCCAGGACTTTACCTAGTACCAACTGAAGGATGTGTAGACCTGTGAGCCAAGGTCCTTTTTGAACAAAATCCGGCCCTCGTCAGGAACCGAACCCACGACCTTTCTATCCACAGTCGAGCGTCTAGCCGCTAGACCACGGCGGCTCCAAAAATACTAATAATAATAATAATAATATTTGAACACAGAAGACACAAACAATAGATTGCACAAGTTATTGCCTGGCATATTTCGCTGTATCCCGTCAGGCACATACTACAGTAACAGTTATATAAATGAAGCAAATAAGTGAATCCTTTATAACTGAAGTACAACTTGAACAACAGTCAAACGCAACTGTCTGTTTTACCAGGGCAGCCGCAGTGTCAGAACCATATCTTTTAAAATACAAAAGTTTTTAAATACATTCTGCCATAGCCTGACGTGTGAAGGATTTGAAATGTGTTGTTCTGCTACTGTTACTAGTAATGATACTGCAGTTGCTGCTATTACTATTATTTGCAGTAGAACTTTTGCCACCACAACGCTGGCTACGACTGTTACTACGGCATCATCATAATCAACAGCAGACGAACGCAACTAACCCCTTACCTATAGACATCGTCTTTTGTGGGTATTATAGAGGACTGAAACACATAACTGGTGATGCCGTGATCGTTCCACTGGGTGCATTTAGGGCTGTAGTTCAGCTTGATTTCCTTCCAGATCCCACACGGATTCTCCTGTAAGAAGAGTCATCAGTATTATTGACTGTAGAATTTCGCTGTGGACATGCTTTTAGCAACACAGAGGCCGGCTAAACTGCATTAAGAACCTATGGTGTAGCACCTGCAAAGCAGTTAAAGTAATCCATGGTAACTTATGGAAGTGAGTCATGGACTCCTGCTCAGTCTTTGCAGTAAGGCAATCGGAGCATTTGAGCTGAAATTCATCATAAAAATTATTAGAAAATCCTGGAGCAAGAAGAAGAAAAACGTCGACATCCTGCATGACCTGGACATAAAGTAGAATTAGCTCAAAAACAGCATCCTGTCCTGACAGCTAAGAAATTTAGCCATGTCAAAGAACCATCGTGGTCTGGGCAGAACGGTGAGGGAGGGTGTAGTCTCCGTAAAACGAGATAGAGGCCGACGTGGATAGAGGCTACTGAAGTTGCACTGGTTATGAAAGCACACAGGGCTAGAGAATCGACTACAGAATTGGAGACGTTCAGGCGTGCTGTGTCGGAAGTGACGCTCTGTAAATGACCTGCTGATTGACTGGTTGAATTATTTGTTCCAGATGGTTGTAATACCCAGACAGACCTGTAAACACTTGGTGTCACAAACGGGAAGGAGAAGGTCAAACAGAAAGATGAACTGAGGCGGGTGATATTTGCCTCTGTAATTAACCTCAATGGCTCAGAATTCTGAAGAAGAAGAAGAAGACGAAGAAGAATAAGAAGAAGAAGAAGAAGAAGAAGAACGAACGAACGAACGAACGAACGAACTTTATTTTCAAAGGGTCACAAATTGGGCACGCAGGCCCGTCTTACATTCGGCCCTTCCAGTCAACCATTTTTCGCACAGCAGTTGTATTTTACTAATAAAGCATGTTATGATCATATGATGTTATGCATATTATGAATATTATAAAAGAACACAAAAGCATGAGTTGTAAAGTGCATGCAAAAACCCGCGCGTGCATACATACACCCGCATACACACACTCACCCACTCACTTACACACACAAACATGCATGCATACATTACATACATACATACACAGATACATATAAACAAACATGCATACACACATACACACAGGCATACGTACACACAAACATACAGGCATACATACATACGTAATACAGGCATACACACATACAGTCATAAATCCAGTCATGCATGGAGACACACTTATGCACACACGGACACTACCACAGAGACACAAACACTCAGACAAAAATACAGACACACACACATACACTTGAAGAAGAAGAAGAAGAAGAAGAAGAAGAAGAAGAAGAAGAAGAAGAAGAAGAAGAAGAAGAAGAAGAAGAAGAAGAAGAAGAAGAAGAAGAAGAAGAAGAAGAAGAAGAAGAAGAAGAAGAAGAAGAAGAAGAAAGAAGAAGAAGAAGAAGAAGAAGAAGAAGAAAAAGAAGAAGAAAAAGAAGAAGAAGAAGAAGAAGAAGAAGAAGAAGAAGAAGAAGAAGAAGAAGAAGAAGAAGAAGAAGAAGAAGAAGAAGAAGAAGAAGAAGAAGAAGAAGAAGAAGAAGAAAAAGAAGAAGAAGAAGAAGAAGAAGAAGAAGAAGAAGAAGAAGAAGAAGAAGAAGAAGAAGAAGAAGAAGAAATAGAAGAAGAAGAAGAAGGTTATAATTTTAACAGGGTATCACAATGAAAGATAATTATAGAGAGGAACATATAGAGCCAGTGAGTGGGAGAGAAAATGAGGGGAGAGATTGGGAGAGGGAGGTAGATAGATGCATAGGCAGGCAGAGTGAGGCAGAAAGAGAGAGTGTGTGTGAGGTTCAGAAGAGATCAAGAGAGCGGGGAGTTTAGGGTGATAGATAGACAGACAGATATACCATTTTTGTGAAGCGTGCACAATTCTCAGACTGTGTCACCTATTTTTGCCATCAAAAACTCCCCTTTTATCTGCATGTAACCCTTAGCTGTATCCCGGACTTCGAGCAGAAGACGTTTGTTAATGCTGTTACTATGAGATAAGACTTTACCTACAGCACCTTGAACCGGTCTGAAACGGTTGGCAGCGCAAGGATAGCTGCTTTATTAATATCCTACCCCAAAATGACGTCACAGGACAGTGCAACATTTTAGATGATTGTAAGTTACGAAAGTTTCCCGGCTTTCTGACGCTTTTAACGACCCCAAAACATCTAGAACTAGCCCTAACCCTAACCAACCTACGTCACACGAGAGAGTGCAGCCTAGGTCCCACGAGTGTATGCAGCCTAGGTCCCCCGACTGCATGCAGCCTATCTACCACCCCCTGAAACATTAGACTGTTCCGTGACCTGTGGATTTCCCCTGTTTGGGGTACGATATTAATAAAGCGCGCAAGGATGCATCCCTCTACTAAATTATTTCTTGTGCATCGTATCATCATCCGCCGAGCTTAATTCAGGTTAACCAACTAACTGGCTCACATAGTGAGCAGTTCTAACCCACAATCCATCACAGAGGTGATCAAGTGCTGATCCATTGCGAACAACATTCTCTACTGCTCCATGTACAGAGCACATTAACATTCAATCACAATAAAATTATAATGATCACTATAGTGCCTTGTCTACTGGCATAGCCGATCATGCCTCTCCACAATCTGCCATCTTCAACAGTATGCATCAGTTGATCTGCTGACTCCCGTCCCCACCATGACAAGGTTGTCAAGAATCTTTTCGCGTTGTCTTTCACTGGCTCTTATACCACATATCTTTCACCGCATGTTGCAAGTTCTTTCTTATCATCACATGAACCAAACTGATAACGGTCTCTTTTTGATGTTTGTGATGCGTTGTCTCCTAACCCTTGCCTCTGTCAGAACAACTTGATTGCTCTTTATGGCTGTCCAACAAATTCTAAAGATACTTCTGTGAAAAAAAAAAGCTTCAAGACCTGGTGAAATTGTTTGACTTGTTTATTAACTGTCCAGGTTTCACAGGTGAAAAAAAAATTAGATGTGTCTTTTATTTTTTACATGACGTTGCAGATTCAACCCCAGCATTTTTTGGCTGTTGTGGTTTTCTAGGCCAATTTACGTCCGGTAGTCTGCCATTGCTTTCTATATGGTCTGCTTTCGATACCATTGTCGAAACCAATGCAAGGCGGTCTGTTGCCAAATCACATGCAGCTGGGATCGACCCTGGCATTGGGAGGCGTATTCGCAACGCTTAAACCAACTTCTTAACAGACACATGTTAAATTAGGATTTACAGACACATGTTAAATTAGGATTCACAGACATATGTTAAATAAAGTAATGTTAACAATTTAAGTTACAAAGAAATATTGAGCACTTACAGCAGTGTGAATGTGCGTCCAACACCAAGCGGTCAAAGCTTCAGGAGGTACTTCTAAATCCTTCTTGGTTTCTACACACAAGCGTAACCTGACTGGTTCGTTCAGAGCCAACCTGATACTTCCAGGAACTACAGGCTCTGTCCATTTGATGATAATACCATACATCTCCCAGCTGGAGTCGCCACTGATGGCTTCGATGTAATTTCTAGGCCGTTCAACCTCGGGATCATCTGGACAGGCCATTTTGATGAAAAGTCCCGAAAAGCTTCAAATGTATTGCTATGCTGAAAAATATCACAATGTGTGAACTAAGTATACATTTGATTATATTGTAATGACAGTTAGTGTCAGGCCTAGCTCATTGCTAAAATAAAAAAGCATAGAGCCATTGCCTTGACACATGATTACTGTAGCATCAGAGATGGTGGACGTTTGTGTTCACTGGCGATGACATTATGTGAAATAGATACATGCTGTGCAAACTATGAATAAAGGAAGTTCAACCCCACCAGGACAGCACAACGAGAGGTAAACACCGAGTGACACAACGTGCCAACATTCAGATGAGAGTGAGCCGGGCACAAGTCTCATCAACCGTATTCAACCGGTAAATTAGGGCCCCAGACATCAGCCTGCGTAGGGCTTTAAAATAAAGAAAAATTGCCTTCCTTATTGGAGCTGTTTTGTTTACTACTGTTTATGCCGTAAAGCGTTACAATGTTAAATGTTGAATTAAGAATAGACATCACAGCACTTGGGACACTCCCATAGGTGCTCAGTCCCCATCTTCAGCAGCAAGCGAAGAGTTTCAATTCCGATAGTACCAGTAACCTTCTGATTGTATATCTGTTTCATCCTTCTCCAGAGTGTTGAGCATCGGCCAGATCCCCTGGTAACTCCTCGCAGCGCCATTCTCCTTAGTAATGATCTATCTGTGCCTCTGCACTGTTCAAATGCTCCCAAAGGGTCCTCACAATATATAACTTGTCATACATCAATTCACCACAAAGTGTTGTAGAGCTAGCCAGTCTATCTGCCTGCTCATTTCCCAACAATCCGGCATAATCTGGAAAAAATATCCAGAGGATGCTAACTACCCGGGACCTCTGAAATGATGCTTGCCACTCTGCACGAAGTATGCCTGTCACAAAGCGTCACAGAAAAGGATTAGATGTAGATCCTGTGTTTTGCTGGTTGCGTAGCGTGTGTTAAATGTCATACTGCGTTTCCGTAGTGTCTTCATCTGTCTCTTTCTTCATCAGTCTCTTGATATGCAGCCTACTGTTCTCATATAGTGTGCTCTAGCTGCTGACCGATTTTGTTCCATTCTAACCAGATGACTATTTGATCGATTAATGGTCTATAAAATTATTTACAGAACTGTGCCTGCCGTTATTCTTAGTTCTTCGTTGGTGTCATTCTCTTCTTGCTTTTTTCGCCGCATTTCTTATACAAGGTCCGACAATTAAGTAATGAGATTAATTCCATAAAAATAAAAAAAAATCAACAGTTGAAGAAAAAACCTGTATTTTATTCAAAGTAAGCCTCTTGTGCATTGATACAGCAAGTGGCACTATCTAACAAACACAGGAACGACCACTGAAGTTCTTCTATCGTTATAGCCCTTTAAGTCAATGTTACGGCCAAAGAAACTTCCTTCAAATGGCAAATTTAATTGTGGAAATAGAAAATAGTCACAGGGAGACAAATCTGGAGAATAGGGTGGATGGTTGAGAACAACCATATGTTTTGGGGCCTGAAATGCATGTACAACTACCGCCCTTTGCGCTGGTGCATTGTCATAAAAAAATTGACAGGTGTTGAATACAAACCGATAAGAAACTTTTTTTCTTGCCCAAATCTTCCACTAAAATTTTACGAGTATTTTCCGTATTAACATCGAATTCATCTACCATCATCCTCACAGTCGAACAACGATCTTCTTGTATCTGTTCTCGGAATTTTGCAATGAGTTCCTTATTTCGAACAGAAATTGGGCCTCCAGGTCTATTTGCATTAGATAAACAAATATCCCCATAAACTTGTCGCATCAATTCAACTGTTGCAGTGGCGCTTCTTCTGAGTTTTAAACAAAATTGTATGTTAGATTTTTTTTTTTCTTTATGCTGATTACGTAATAACGCACCACTGACTAGGTTAACAAAATGGCGGCTTGTTTGTTGTCGGCTTCTCGGGCGGCGATGTAAAGTTGCCAGACCATAGACGAAGGTTGCCTCTTTGGATTCCATTCTTTGATTCATAGATGACATTTTTGTCTTGGCCTTAATGAAATCATTCTCATTACCTAATTGTTATATAGCACTCCTGAGTTCAGAACACACAGACGCCCAAGAAAAAATCAATCGACTCCAGAATTTCTCAGAACAAATTGGACTCCAAATTAACACCGCAAAAACAAAAATTCTAGACCTTACCAACAGTTCAGTTGATATCACGCTGAACAACAACAGCCTTGAAAAAGTCAACAGTTTCACTTATTTAGGGAGCAAGATGTCATCTACAGGAGATACCGCACCAGAAATATCATTTAGAATAGCACTGGCATCTAGTGCCTTCAATAAACTGTCTAACATCTGGAAATCAAAGTCACTTAGCAAACACACAAAACTCAAGATCTTCAATTCTTGTGTGATTCCAGTACTAACCTATGTATGCGAGAGCTGGAAATCAACGAAAACTCTAGACACAAAATTAGACAGTTTTGAAAATAAATGCCTTAGAAGAATACTAAATTTCAAATGGTCAGATTTCCGAACCAATACACAAATAAGGCAAGAATCCAGGCAAGAGTATGTGTCTAATTTTATACGAAAACGCCGCTGGAACTATGTCGGCCACGCCCTTAGAATGGATAAATCAAGACTTCCTTACCAAGCCCTCATTTGGACACCACAGGGGAAAAGATCTCATGGAAGACCAAGGGAAACTTTACGTAGAACTATCATCAGGGAAGGCTCGCTCATGGGCCACTCAAACATTTAAGACCTACAACGGTTTGCAACGGACCGCCGTGCATGGAGAGTCATGACCTCTGCCCTATGTGCCGCACTCGACACAAGAGGAAAGACTAACTAACTAACTAACCTAAATGTTGAACCTTGTATATCTCATCTCACATTACATGATAAAGCGGATGTTGTGGAGGCTCTATGGAATCTAATGGACAGTGCAAAAGAACAGATAGGGAATCCATACACTAAAAGAACCAATTCACCGAGGGGTGAGGGTGTAGAGTTCCTTGAAGATATTCACCATTGAAAGGAAAACAGAGACGGGCTTTAAATCAGGTTGCAGCCGGGACTTTTAGCTCGTTGATTACTGAAGAAAGGGACGGAGCTCACGAATGAATGTCCTGAGTGCAGAAATGTCACTTCATTCATTCGTTCTTTCATTCATTCGTTCTTTCATTAATTCACTAATGCATCTAAAATGATGACATTTTGTGTGTTGTGTGTTTTAAAAACAATTATTGACAGTCCATGTCTGGCATTATTTCTAGGTGCTAGTCCCCATGTGGGATGCACTATTTTTCGTTATTTGAAGCCCCACCATGGCTTTTGCCGGGGCCCCTAAATATAGCCAGGCCATAAAAATCAGGGTGTTTATTGTTTGTGTGATGTCCTAGTGGGGTACAACTTACAGACATACTTACACCTGGCATTGTTAATGCATTTGTTCTCAACAATGAGTGTAAACTTCCTCCTTTTAAAGTTTGCTCATCTCTTGATGTTATCGCCCCACTTGTGTCGCTGTCTATTAGGACTTAGTGGAATCGCTTATCTTTGAAGACTTAACTACATATGAAATTACTGCACATTAACTGCACCAAGTGGGAGCCGCCACAACAGCCCTGTATCGAACTGAACATGGAACATCAATGATGTAATGGACAAAGAATTACAATTCTGATCAAATATTGGGTAAGCCATATGAATATATGTATGTATATATATATATATATATATATATATATATATATATATATATATATATATATATATATATATATATATATACATTTATATATATATATACATATACATAATATCGTGTGTGTGTGTGTGTGTGTGTGTGTGTGTGTTAGATAGTTAGTCGATAAATAATCATCATTGCACAACAAACCAATCAATCCATAAGTGCTCGGATCTTTTCTTTAGTAAATCCCGCAGCATATTCTGTTCAGGTTTCTTATTCTTCTTCGGCTTCCTGAAATGTGCTCTTGTCGGGCCACACCCCTTTACATGTTGTTCTTGCAGTCTGGTTGTAGATGCAGATTCACAGTCATAACTTGGTCCTCACAAACTTACTTCTCGTATAGCATTCACAATGTATGTCTCGTCCATGGCTCGCCCCCCCCCCCTTTTTCCACGGTAGCGTTACCTTAAACCCTATCAGCTTGATCATTTCCTTGCCCACCTGCAGGATCTGGCTCAAATTTGAAACTGACATGAGTCAGCCCCGACCGCTCTAGAGACTTCAGCTTTTGTCTTCCGACCCAGTCCATCTCCCTGAGCATACTCATTGAGTCACTGAGAAAGCATGAGTGGGAAAATGTTTGTGTCTGAAGCCATGTTATTGCTTTGAGATCACTGGGTGTGTATATGTGTGTGAGAGAGAGAAAGAGAGAGAGAGAGAAAGAGAGAGAGAGCGAGAGAGAGAGAAAGAGAGCGAGAGAGAGAGAGAGAGAGAGAAAGAAAGAAAAGAGAGAGAGAGAAAGAAGAGAGAGAGAGAGAGAGAGAGAGAGAGAGAGAGTGAGAGAGAAAGAAGTCATTTAAACTGTTTTTTAGTTACAAATTTCGTACCTTTCGATGTTTTCTGGTGCCTTTTCAAAATAAAACTGGTACCATTCAACAAAAAAACTTCGGCAGCCCAGATAGAGAGCTTCATAGTCGCAGTATAGGCTGTTCCAAAAATTAGCTGCACAGCTGTATGGTCCCTAGTGGCTGAAAGTGGCCTGCTAGTTATATTAATTCTTGATTCATTTATTAGTTTAATTCATTAGTTCTCTTACTCGTGCATTATGTAAGCAGCAGTCCGACTCTTGCACATTCAGTTATAACAATCACACACTAAGTCATGTGATTATCTATGTAGATGGCACTGTGTTAAGAGGTAGACGAAGTGTATGGGGGCTCATAGCAAAAGCTAATGGATGTCGCTTAGTGCAACAAAGCCTGACTTATGATATCGCGACGTCTAATTTGAGAATAGGAGGGGAGGAGGTCACTGCTGCCTTCAGCTGGATTGAGAATTAGCTATGCACACATGTCGTAATTGTGACCGATTCGCAGAGTATATTGAGAGAGGCGGCGACACGGGCATGCTTCATGCAGAGTGGTAAACATCGCTTCAGAGGTCCCATGTAGTTAGCAGATTTTTTCTCCAGTGTATGCTGGTGTGTTGGGAAACGAGCATGCATATAGACTGGTCAGTTCTTGCACCAATTGGTGGTGAACTGATGTATGACAAACCAGATGTTGTGAGTGTTCTTTGAAAGCGAGTTAACAGTGCGGTGGCGCAAATAGCTCATTACTGTCTGCGGAGAATGGCGCTGCAGGGAGTTACCAGGGGATCTGGCCGACGCCGAACACTCAAGCGAAAGGCGAGATCGATATACAATGAGACAGTTACTGGTGCCACTGGAATTTAAACTCTTCGCTTGCTGCTGAAGATGGGAACATGGCGCTTATGGAAGTATTCCTAGCACTGTGATGCTGATTCTTAATTCATCATTCCACATTTAACATTCAAACACGCACCGTAAGGCACTAATTGAACGGGCAGAGTCAATAAAATGGCGACTATCTTTGATGCATCTTGAAGTAAACTAAAGTACGCCAGGGGTTCATGTCTCAACCTTCAACTTCTGGCATGTCTAAGGCCATCAACAAAGGTTTCAATGTAGTTAGATTAGTTTTGTTTTAAAGCTCATTGGCTTGGAAATGATTTATAATCATCTACACCACTTGGTGGTGAAGTGATGTTGGAGGGCCCTTTGGCCCAAAGTTTGGGAGCAAGTAAACAAAGCGAAAGTACAAATAAACATTACGGTCTGAGGAGAATGGTTCTGCGGGGAGTTACCAAAGGTTCTGGCCGGCGCTCAACACTCAAGGGAAAGGCGAGACTGACGTGCAATCAGAAATTTACTGATACCTTTGGCCCGGGAACTGGAACTCCTCTCTTGCTGCTGAAGATAGGAACGGAGTGTTTATGGGAGTGTCTCGAGTGCTGTGATGTGGATTACTAACTCAAAATTCAACACTGATTTAAAATAATCTTTCCCTATCGCCCCCAAGCAGGTAGTGGGAAGGGATAGTTTCTCTGATGTTATCTTTCCATCTTGTTCTTGGTCTACAATGTTCCCAACATCCTTGTCCTTTTGTAGAAGTATGTCTTGTATGGTATTGTGTCGCAAGTGTCGCCCGAAGTGACCAAACCATTTGGCTTGATGTATTTATAGACTGCTAGTTCCTAAAAGAAGAGACAAAGGTATAACAATGGACAAAGTACTCAAAATGGGTAATTAAAAAATACTTAACAGTTTTGAACAACGGATCAACATCATGGCACACGGGTAGTAACCCATAAGTGTTCTGTTCTACTTCTAACTCAAGTCTGAGCTCGAAGAAGCTCAGCACTGTGCACAAGCTCTGTAGCCCTAGCGAGGATCCTGAAAAACTTTGGGTAGATTTTTAACTCCAAATTGTGCCCGAGGAGCGCCTTTATGCTACTCTTTTTGATTTCCAACTGCCAAGGTTTTTTTTAATTGCGCAGCAATGCACACAGGCGTCCGATCTCACTACCCAGAGACCAGGGAAAATTACTTGAAGAGTAAGTCCACGTCAAAAAAATCACAGCATTTACCGGTGTAGAACCCGGAACCTCTAGCATTGGAGGCGGACACCATGCCTCGAAGCCACGCAGCCCACTTAAAAGTAAAGAAGCTATTCAATGCAAGCGACGCATCGATTATATGAAATTTGACTAAACAAATTATTTATAAATCAATCAGCCATTAGTTGACTGTGTGGTAAGCGCCACGTCTAAGAATGTTCATTACTTGAGATCATCTTCATCGCACATCAGATATGACCATAAGTGCTTCGATCTCCTCCTGAGAATGTCTCTAATCGTTTTTTGTGCTAACAACTCCCATTTTGTTCTACTCCCATTCTACATGATGTAGCGACGGGTGGCTCCCGCATGGTTTTTCTATCTCGCTGCTCCAAATGGTACACCCAGGGTATGCTGTCTATTCAGTGAAAAATCATGTTTTCACGAAACTAAAAGCCTCACAGAGTTTAGTCTCTCGTATAGCATTAATAATGTCTCTCCTGTCCATGTCGGCTCTGTGGCTAAGTCGATGCGAACGCTTCCAAATGCCGGGGTGCCGGGTTCGATCCCAGCTGCGGGCCATGCGCCTTGCGTTGGTTTTGACAGTGGTATCAAAAAATCCGAACGTCCAGAAAGCAATGGCAAACTGCTAGACGTAAATTTGCCTAGAAAAACCACACAACAGCCAGGGGTTGTTGAGGTTGGTTCTGCAATATCCTGTAAAGGATACGCAACTAATCCTCTGTCCATAGAGGGACAGTTTCATCAACTGACTCTTTGATACGGTGAGCATTCCAAATGCGTAACTATTAGTTGCGTATCCTTTTACAGGACGTTGCAGAACCAATCACATTAATTATTATTATTTTTTTTTTCTGTTGTGGTTTTTCTAGGCACATTTTACGTTCAATAGTTTGCTATTGCTGGGGGGGGGAGGGGGGGGGGGCGGTCAACACTGCGTATCACTGTCAAAACCAACGCACGACAAACCGTCCGCGGCTTAAGTCTAAGCCACAAACGCAATCTGTAATCTTTTACCGAGATGATAAGTGCTGATACCTTGTGACCATTCCTTGTTCCATATCCAATACTATCATAATCGAGTCCGTTTTAGCATTTTTCCTCATTGGGAAAGACATGCTTCTGATGAAGGTGATACCTAGATACGTTAATGTGTTTTCCATTTTCATATTTCTGTCATTTTTTTCGAGGTTTGAGCTATCAGCTAAAACCATTCATCGAAACGTTTTCTAGATATTTTCTATTCATACATTTTCTGTAGAATTCAGTTTTGATAACTTCCCCCATTTTAAACGCTGTAGCATCTTCCCTATGTGTGTCTTAAATACACTAATTTCACCGGCTACAAACTCCGGCGGACAGTTCAGGCTAATCGCCAACTTACGCGCATTGGTCTTGTTCCATAATTTGATTTTTGCGTGCACATCCGATTTACAGGTCAGGCTTATTTATATACAGACTATAGGTCCTTGCTTCTGAGGTAGATGTACTCCGACTTCGAAGGAAACTTCCTTAATGAGTCACCTTTTTTTTTTTGACATGCATGTTAAGGGTCAGTTGGTACATCTCTCTCATCCTCCCCTCCCCCCCCCCCCCCCCCCCCCCCCCTCTATAATTGAGTTCCAGAAACCACACGGGAAATATGCTTTACTTCTTCTTCTTCCTCCTTTTTTCTTGTTTTGTCGTCTCACTGATACCAAGTTTTAGCCCAGTGTGGCGGTTTTCTGTATTTATCTTGCGCTTCTCGAGCGGCTTGAGTAATTGATTTCTTCAGCTTTTCGTAGGTTTCGGCTACACCATTTTTCCACATATTTCTTGGTCATCCTCCAGCCTTCTGTATATTCTTCTGTAAAAAGTCTCATATGCATTTTGGCCATACTTTACTTCTGTTCTTTCATTGGGTGATCAATGTTCTTGGTGAGCAGATGGAGTCTGAGAGACCGTGTTGTTATACCGAGTGTTGCGACGCAGAAACATCCTGGGACCAGTACGGCATGAGAATCAAATGGACAGAACCAGCCGTGTCAGGAAAGAGCAAAGTCGCTATGCTGGATCCTTTAGTTATAAAGGTAACGTTTTTGTTACAAAGTCTTCAATTATGTGCGAACCATTGTTGGCAGTCTTTTGTTTTGTCAATCATTGTGTGACATATCTTGCCTTGAAAATTATTGTTGGGCATTTGTTGTGTATGGTTATCATTGTTGGGCGTCTGTTATGTTGATCTGCACTGCTGAACATATCTTGTGTGGATCTGCATTGTTGGATATATGTTGTTATTGTTATAATTGTTGAATACTGCGCTGGACATCCTTATTATTGGATATCCGTTGTGTCGACATTCAATAGTGTATACCTTTTACGCTGATCATCATTTTTGGACACCGTTTGCGTCAAAACGTTTATTTCTGGAAATCTATTACCATTACAATAACTGCTGAACATCTGCTATGTTTGACTCTCACTGTTGGGTGTCTGTTGCATTGATCGTGACATTGTTGCACCTCTTCGTCCTGTACTTCAATTGTTAAAACCTATTGTCAAGAAAATAGTGCTCTTATTAGATCATGTTGGCTGGAAGTTTAAACTGTGTGTTGTTTCTGGCTTTTTTGTTCCCTCTACATTATATTGTGTGTGTGTGTGTGTGTGTGTGTGTGTGTGTGTATTGAAACAGAAACATATATAATTACACATTCACATTCTAAAAGATGTGAACATCAAAGAAGATTGGCTAGTAAACAGCATCTTGTCTCGGTGACTGAAATAATTTGGCCATATCAAGCGCCACAGAGGATTGGACAAAGAAAATGGCAGAAAGCACGAAACCATGAACGAGGGGCAGAGGTGGATTAGCAGGAAGATGGGCACAGGATACACGTGGCAGCTTGGTTAGGAAGGTGCACGAGAGCTGACGAGAGAGTGAGTTTCCTTAAAGCAGACAATGATGAGAGCGACGTTCTACAAAGGACCTGCGACATGAGGATAATAATCAATAAAAAGGAAATGACAAAGAATACTCTTTTTTCGTGGGATGGGAAGACAAACGTGCGATGGGAAGAGGAAATTGTGATGGGAAGAGGAAAGTGTAATGGGAAGAGAAAAATGTGATGGGAAGAGGAAAGTGTGATGGGAAGAAGAAAGTATGATGGGAAAAGGAATGTGTGATGAGAAGAGGAAAGTGTAATGGAAAGAGGAAAGTGTGATGGGAAGAGGAAAGAGTAATGGAAAGAGGAAAGTGTGATGGGATGAGGAAAGTCTAATGGGAAGAGAAAAGTGTGATGGGAAAAAGAACGTGTGATGGGAAGAGGACAGTGTGATGGAAAGAGGAAAGTGTGATGGGAAGAAGAAAGTGTGATGGGAAGAAGAAAGTGTGATGGGAAAAGGAAAGTGTGAAGGGAAGAGAAAGTGTGATGGGAAGACGAAAGTGTGATGGGAAAAGGAACGTGTGATGAGAAGAGGAAATTGTGATGGGAAAAGAAACGTATGATGGGAAGAGAAAAGTGTGATGGGAAAAGGAACGTGTGATGGGAAGAGGACAGTGTGATGGGAAGAGGAAAGTTTGATGGGAAGAGGAAAATGCGATGGGAAGAGGAAAGTGTGATGGGATGAGGAAAGTGTGATGGGAAGAGGGACGTGTGATGAGAATAGGAAGGCGTGATGAGTAAAAGAACATGTGATGGGAAGAGGAACGTGTTATGGGAAGACGCAAGTATGATGTTAAGAGGAACATGTGATGAGAAGAGGAACGTGCGACAATGATAATACAGGAATGAAAGATATGTACACTGTGAAGAGGCCTTTTCCTAAAATCCGTTGTGTGGCGTTGGTCATCTTGCCCTCCCATAGCCTGCTTCTTGTCTTGTGTACAACAGATCATTTCTGCTCCAGATGTATTTTTCCGTACAACGTTCCAGTTAAAGTCTATATCATCCTGGACAGTCCATGGCCACTGTACTAGCCACGCAGCCTTCAATCTTCAAGCCCAATCCTCACCTTTCCTGTACTGATCCAACAATTGATCGATTCAGGCGGTAACGACTGTCCTCTTTGCCTTCTATGATAATTCTCAGAAATTTCTAGAAATTGTTTGCTACCCATTTGATAAGGTCTTTTCGACTTCAGAGTGGTACTTTTGCTGGGGGGGGGGGGGGGGGGGGGGGGATTTGGGGGGGGGGGAGAGAAAGGGGGATTTGGGGGGGGGGGGGGGAGAAAGGGGGATTCGGGGGGGGGGGGGGGGCTGTCTCTGCAGGCAAACAATACAAATACTACTCCTAGCTTATTTTCAATCTCATTCGTGTAATTATTGACTTCTTGTTTCTGACTCCTTTTATACGCTTTTATTAAGGTGTTTGGTTCAATTTTTTTTTGCGTTTGATTATTTCATTTTTTTTAAATTCTAGCTGTGCCTTGAATGCAAGAAACCAATTCCGTTGAGGAACGTCAGTGCTTGGGCATGGACTCATATATTCCACCAGGTAACAGACCTGCATTTACGCACACATACAGATATCAGTACAACTATCCCCATTACCATTATAGTTCATGTCAAAAAAGGGACTGCCGACCCGAAAGTTTAGAATTCAAATCGACATTTATTTATATTTTTTGGAATAATTACCTTGACTCCAGATCCACTCATTTTAATATGGGTACCAGGTAATATACTAGTATGTAAGACGGTCGGTATAGTGTTGACCCCATCATACACTGAAAGCCTACTGATCTACCAAAATATACGTTGAAAGGTAAATGGGAGAGGATGGGCTTCATTATACTTTTTTTTTTAAATCTCACATGGCTGGGTATCTCTATGCAGAATAGCTAGCAGCCTGCAGCGAGTATCACACAAAGCACGAACTTAGTAGCTCCAGCGACCACTGTATTCTTGATATGCATACCATATATGCTCCACACATCAACAATAAATTGTCACGTTCAACCAGCGTCCCTGAAGGTTGAGCTTTAGGTTATACTTATGACTATGTAATGTGCCCCATATAAAATGGCTAAGCATTGCACGCCACCAAGAGCCCTAAATAGGACTCCAGCAGAGTTGGTGGGGTCAAAAGAGAGAGACCCAAACAGTGTCCCAGCGAAGAAATCATCAACTGATGAGCCAATAAGTGATCTTGTCGCAGATGCCAAAGCTGGCGCCTGAGAAGGAGATTACATAAGTTAGCTGGCAACAATATTTCTGAAATCCCATGCTCAGATTGTGGAAGACTGTTTTTAACTCAATGGGTCCCCGTGTGGATTCCGGGGCCCTATTTAAGGGAAGACAAGAATAGACCCACTGCCTACCAACAAGCATGTCGTAAGAGTCGACTAATTTTGGGCTGTCTTCGAAGTCAGATTGCATCTGCCTGAGTGGCAAGGACAAGGAACCAACAATCTGCATATAGATAAAACAGATGTGTTAAACGAATTGACACGCAACACTCAGGTTCTGAAACAAGACCAAAGTCCAGAGGCGGACGAACAACCAGAACATTCTGCCGGAGTTTACAGCTTGTGAATGCGGGGAAGAAGAGAACAACACAATGGGGGTCTTGCTAATCACACTTGCAACCGCACTGGCTGTCTTTCCCATGCCTCCGATATTAGACTGTGACACTTTGGTCTGGTTTGAGGTTTGAACAACGGATCAACATCAAGGCACAAGCGTAGTTACCAATAAGTGATCCGTTCAACTTCTAACTCAAGTCTGAGTCCGAAGGTTCTCAGCGCAGTGCACTTGCTTCGTAGTACCGATGAGGATCCTGAAATATTTTGGATAGATTTCCGTTTGGCTACTCTTTAGATCTCCAACTGCCAAGGGATTTTTTTACGTTCGCAGCAATACACACGGGCGTCTGATCTCACTACCCAGACCAGGGGAAATTACTAGACGTCCAACTGAAAAAAAAAAATCCCAGCCTTCAATGGGGACTGAACCTGGGACCTCTAGCACTCGAGGCGGACAAAATGCCTTGTCGTCTGAAAAAATAGAAAGAAGCTAACAGTAACGGCTAAACAAAACTTGTTTTTTTTTTAACCTGCAGTTGTGAAGTGTGAGGGTTATACTATGTACTGCACTATACCACATTTTTTCAAATACTTGAAAACCTTGAATATTTCTACAGGATAACACAGAGGGCATCTTCAGAGAAATAAAACTGGCATATAACCCAAAATCTCGGAAATGGGACGACTGGGGCGTGACCACTTACGAGTTTTTCGCCATTATATACCCAACTCATAGCGCATATTTCAGGTCAGTGATAAAAGACACTTCTTCTTCTTTTTTAGCACACAATGAAACATAGGCCCTTAACCAGCTCATGCCAAGTTGATTTATCCTTCGCTGTCGCATGCACCTCTTTTCATGTCGACTCCATCTTTTTAACTACACTCTCAGGCTCCCTTTTCCATTTGTGTTTTGTTTTTGTTTTTGTGTCCTACTTTATTTCTATGTCCCTGTGGGTTCCAGTGAAAAGACATTCTAGTTATATTGTTCTCGAGTTTTCTCAACAGGTGTCCTATCCATCACCACCGTCTTTTCTTCACTTCTTGGTCCACTGGAACTTTAACTGACTCACAGAGTATGCCGAGAAAGGTGGAGACAGGCATGTTCCGTGCAGAGTGGCAAGCATCACTTCAGAGGTCCTGGATAGTAAGCATCCCTTGGATATTTTCTCTAGGTCATGATGATGTGTTGGGAAATGAGCAGGCGGATAGACTGGCTGTTTCTGTGCCACTTGGTGGTGAACTGATGTATGACAAACTTGATGTTGTGAGGGCCCTTTGAGAGCGAGTGAACAGTGCCGAGGTACAGATAGATCATTACTGTCTGAGGAGAATGGCACTGTGGGGGAGTTACAGAGGGATCTGGCCGACGCTCCACACTCAGGGGAAGGGCGAGACAGATATACAATCAGACAATTACTGGTACCATCTGAATTTTAACTCTTCGCTTGCTGCTGAAGATGAGGGCGGAGCGCTTATGGGAGTGTCCCGAGTGCTGTGATGTCGATTCTCAATTCAACATTCAACATTGGAACTTGTTTAGCTCTCTTCCAAAGCCCTACAAGCGAAATTAGTAGACATTTTTTGGGCTTTCACGTCATGCAATCGTTAGCACTTGGAGAAAGAATTAAACTGACATCTTACATAGCCGACTATGGCCACCAATCAATAGTGTGGCACAGGTAAAAGCTTACATGAGAATATCAGCAGACATCAACCACCCACTACACAACGCTATCAATGATATAAAAGGGTCGCGTCTCAAAAAAGGCTCCTCCTGGATGGCCGGGGCAGAAAATATCATCCAGCAAGTATGTGCCCTAGACGACATCAGTCACGGAAAAGAATGAACGGATACACCAGTAGACCTGCATGACTTGTCTAAGGTTGTCATAACACTGGGGAGGTACGACAGGAATTAGATACCTGCCACCGTAGACGCCGAGATTAGAGCACTTATCGATCAGCACTCAAGCCCAGAAGACGTCGTCATTTACACAGATGGGTCAGTGAAGCGCGGGACAAGATCACCATGGGCATACACGACACAAATGATAGGGAGAACAATAAAAGAGCATAGCGGCGATTACCAGACGACTATGTCAAGCATGACCATGGAGATAGCTGCTGCTACCAGAGCACTCGTGTGTGTGTGTGTTGAATGTTGAATTAGGAATCGACATCACAGCACTCGGGACACCCCCATAGGCGCTCAGTCTCTATCTTCAGCAGCAAGCAAAGAGTTAAAATTCCGATGGTATCAGTAACTGATTGTATATCCATTTCGCATTTCCCCTGAGTGTCGAGCGTCGGCCACATCCCCTTGTAACTCCTCGCAGTGCCATTCTCCACAGACGGTGATGATCTGTCCGTGTCTCGGCACTGTTCACTCGCTCCCAAAGGGCATATATATATATATATATATATATATATATATATATATATATATATATATATATATATATATATATATATATATATATATATATATATATCATATATATATGTATATCATAAATATATCATGTGTGTGTGTGTGTGTATGTGTAATAAACAGACAATGTGTTGATCGGCACTCATAGAAAGAAGCAGAAAGATACAAGGACACAGTAGGCAACCCAATAATCGAAAGCAGTAGTTACCGTGTCAGAAATCAACTAGCAAACCTGTAGCAAGTAGCGACAAGACAGTCGGCAGTTGGAGAGAAGCAAGCTCATAGTTGACGAAGGCAGGAAGTTCGACTTCCAGAGGGTGATCATTATAATGCAAATGTCATTAGCGGTTGTGTCGTTTTTGTGGTCAAAAGATTCATCGGGAGAACATCGGGAGGAAACAACCGAGAGTCGGAACCCGAGAGTGTCAAGAAGGCAAATGGGCCGAAACACTCGGCGAATGGAGACGGCTTCTGATGATTATTCCGGTTATGTTCGCTCCTTCGTGTACTTGTTTCTACACATGTCCTTACCTAACTCACTGCCCTGTTTCTGTTTCTGTTGCGTGTAGCTCAACCCACGTGATTCAGATCCATTTCATTTAGGTTTCACACTGTGTCCTATCCGACTCCAGCGTCTTTTTCTCACCTAATTATTACAATTATTTCTATAGTTCTCGACAAAAGCCCTACATTAGTTATTCTGTCACAGTTTCATTCCCTTAATAATTGCATTTTAATGAGTTTTTTAAACCCTTTTATTTTCTGTTTTTGTCTCTCTACATGTTTGTCTCTCTGTTGGTCTGTCTGTCTGTCTTTATGTCTTTTTCTGACCTCACCTCTCTCTCTCTCTCTCTCTCTCTCTCTCTCTCTCTCTCTCTCTCTCTCTCTCTCTCTCTCCCCCCCCCTTTCCTTTCTCTCTATCGCCCCACCTCACACACTATAACCTAATCTAATACCTAAGTATGGACCGTCAATGTAAAATATTCAGAGGAGGTGATCTCTGTCTGTCTGTTGGTAAATCATAATGTCTGTCATTCCCATTAACGCCAACCCATTACTAGAAATCTCAAGTTCAACTGTAATAATTGCCTACCTTGTCCGTGCACTAGGCTGACCTACAACGTCAAGTACGAGAAGCTGATGATCTGGGCCAATGTGTTCCAGGCGGACCACATTCTAACTGTGCTGGCACCTCGGGACGTGAACATCTGGACCAAGTCACCCAGGTACTCACAGGTAAGGCAAGGTGGCCACATCCTAACTGTGGTGCAACTTTGGCACGTGAACCTCCGGACCAAGTCACCCAGGTACTCACTGGTAAGGCAAGGTGACCATATCCTAACTGTGCTGGCACCTTGGGAAATGAACCTCTGGACCAAGTCACCCAGGTACTCACATGTAAGGCAAGGTGACCACATCATATAAGAGGTTCAATGTTGAGTTAAAAATCGACATCACAGCACTCAGGACACTCCCATAAGCGCTCCATCCCCATCTTCAGCAGCAAGAGAAGTTCCAGTTCCGATGGCACCAGTAACTGCAGAATTGTATATCCATCTCGCCTTTCCCTTGAGTGTTGAGAGTCGGCCAGATCCTCTAGTAGCTTCTCGCAGCGCCATTCTCCTCGGACCGTAATTATCTATTTGTTTCTTCGTGCTGTTCACTCACTCCCAAAGGGCCCTCAAAACATCTAGCTTGTCATACATCTGTTTACCATCAAGTGGTGCAGAACTGGCCAGTCTATCAGCCTGCTTGTTTCCCAAAACACCGGCATGACCTGGAGACGATAGGCCAAGTGGGAGGGACGCAGTGTTACACCAACTACATATGATTGTATTTCAGATCTCTATGTAAGCAAAAGGAAGCCGTCGTGGTGTAGCAGCTAAACGCTCGCCTCCGGATCCGAAGGTTGTAGATTCATGTTCTGACACAGCCAGACCTTTTTTTTTATACAAAAACAGCTGCCAAGTTAGCCCAGTCTTAAATGGGTACCAGGTTAAGTCCTGGAAAGTAAAGGCGACCGGCGAGATGTTGACCACATCGACCCCGCTATAAAATACACTTCTATCTTCCCATTTTAGGCCTGGTGGACCAGGTAGCCTAGTTCACTTTTAAAGAAGAAAAAATCCGACTCGGTCGGGGTCGTATCAGATCTTCTTGACTAAGTGGTTGGACCGTTTGTCTTGAGTTGTGAAAGTTCTGGGTTCGTTACACGGACTGAATCGTTCGGGTTAGCATCATCATCCTAATGTGTCTTGGTTGGGCCACATAGGGCTCACAGTCTATTCGTTCAACTAGATATATTCTGTGGAATCCTTTCGGTATCATGAGTACTAGCCTAGCACTTTTAGCTATAAACTATAAAGTGGCAACCGCCATTCTACCGGCGAAGGCAGAAGAAGAAGAATAGGATGATAACGGCGAGGGACATGTACACAAAGACAGGCATGAATGAGTGAGTGAGTGAGTGAGTGAGTGAGTGAGTGAGTGAGTGAGTGAGTGAGTGAGTGAGTGAGTGAGTGAGTGAGTGAGTGAGTGAGTGAGTGAGTGAGTGAGTGA